CACGCACGCACGCACGCACGCACGCACGCACGTTCAGTGTTCAGTAACACTAAAGATGATCATTAGGAAAATTCAAAACGTTTGTATTATGATAGTTATCTAATTTTTAATATACAAGATGTCCGAAAATTCGTTCAAACTACTTCTTAAAGGATCCAAAAGAAGAAAAGATAACTTTATAAAAACATAAATCCGGAAATGAATTGTTTTCGAGTTATAGTCACTTTTGTTAAAAAATTGTAATATATCGCAATAATAATTGTAATAATGATCGTAATAAATTATATTAATAATGGTATTTAATAAATTATGATTATTATGATCATGCCTATGAAAATTAAATTACAATTTTTTTTAACATAAAAGTGGTTGTAACTCGTGGTTACAACTCATTTCCAGGCTTAGGTTTATACAAATAGTTTTTTCGTTCTTTTCGAATCCTAAATTACCTTAAGAAATACTGTGGGCAAGTTTTCAAATACTCTATACATATGTATATCAGTACAAACATCTAGCTTGACTTATATTAATCTTTTTTTATTATTTGTAAATAAGTTTTAATGTTCAATCAAATTAAATATATTTATTTATTAATGACTAAATTAAATCAAAATAAAAGTCCACAAATTAAAGATAAATTGTATATGGTAGTTACAAATGTGATCAGAAATGTCAATGTTGCAGCTCTTGTCGATAAAATACAACCAATTCTAGCATTAATTGGCTGTATTAACAATCGAAACAATTATTTTTTAAGCTTTGATTAAAATTAATTAAATTTATAATTGAATGATTCTGCAAATTGCCTTTCGTGTTGTGGCCATATGTATATATACATGAAATATATACTAATTATAAAATCTAATTTCCATGGTTGAATTGCAAAACGAATATGTATAATGATAACTGATTATTATTGTTATGCAGGACATTTTTTTAGTATGAAGTAATGAAGATTACATTCAACGATAAAGAACAATACGAGTGCAAAGGAATGACAGAAAAATATAAAATATTTTAGAAGATAGAAACGTTGTACTATTACAAGCGTCTTTAAAACAAAGTTCGCATTGCTCCATTTTGCGCACATTACTCTTCTGTTTCTCTTCCATTGTCTTGCATGGATTATTGAGTTTTGATTTGCACATCCTTATAACAACATCCTTTTTCCCAACTGTAAAGATATATTATATTTGCGTTAATTGTTCTAAATAAATGTACCGTACCGATCGTATAATGCTTTGCGCTTTGTAAATATTTGTATTTACTTACTATTAAGGATTATTTTAGAACAAGCCATATCCTGGAGAATACTTTGTTGTGATATATTATCATTGAAGAGCCATTCCATTGAGGTGAAATTATTATGCTGCCGGATGCGTCCTTGCCATTCCATTATATTGCTATTGGTACATTCCACTGGTTGTAACGAATTTGTTGTAAAATCTAAACCACAACCTTCGTTTGATAATGAAGTGCACATGTAGCATTTTAGCGCATGTTCTGTAAAAGGAAATATAGACAATAAGCCGCTTTACTCAATAATTTTAAAATATTTGTTTATCACATATATTCTTTTTTCGTAAATATTTAAATTTGAAATTGAACAAAAAAACTTTATAAAGGTAAAAAATATACATTAAAAAGAGAAAAAATTTAAAAGTGTATATGTATAATTAAAAAAAATGTTAATTGTTTAAAAATAAATGTTAAATCGTTCTAACCAAATATTATTGAGACAAATCTGCATATAAAAAATACTTTAAAAATATTATAAACATTTAATTAACATACTGTACATGTTTAATTAATAGAATCTTATTTTATTTTTTTATTACTATTGTGATTTTACGCAAATTCCAAGTTCAATAAAACAAATTTAAGATCAGAGCGCATTTTAATAAGCAAATATTAGTCAGGATAAGAGGCCAAAGACGAGTGAAATATAGGTATCAGTTAATATTTTAATATAACTATGTGATTTTACATACTTTAGCTTCAACGAATTGCGAGCCGTTACTATCGGATTCAACGCAGCATATGATTGAAACAGAACTATCATCACGCTGTTAAATAATTTAATGAGTACTGATGTTTACTTGTATCTAATAAATCACCCCCCCCCCTCCTCCGTTGCGACTCCAAATAAATCCTAACTTGCGTCTATAGAATCTACTCCCTCCAAATCTGTAAAGAATTTATTACGAAAAAATATCATCTCAGGTTTCAGCCAGGAATCGAACCTGGATCTCCATGTTTACCGGACGGGCGTCCTGCCTTTAGACCACCGAGGCATGTGATAAATTCATCGCAATAAGAATTATCTAACACGTTCTCAGACTGCGTAAATTTAAATAACTATTTCCGTAACGCATTATAAGGTCATTTTTAATAAATAAATAAAGAAACTACCAGCTCGTATTGCAAACAAAGTAGATTCTATAGATGCAAGTTAGCATTTATTTAGAGTCGCAACGGGGGGAGAGGATGATTTATCAGATACAAGTAAGCATCAGTACTCATTAAATTATTTAACAGTGTGATGATACGATTCTGTTTCAATTAAATGCTGCGTTAAATCCGTTAGTAACGGCTCGCAGTTTGTTGAAAAACTTAAAAAACTAGAAAATTATGTAAAATCACATAGTTATATTAAAATATTAACTGACACCTATATTTTGCTCATCTTTGGTCTCTTATGTCCTAACTATTGTTTACAATACGAGCTGGTAATTTATTTATTTATAAGCAAATACATTTCTACAAATATGTTTATTTTTACATATTTTGATAACATTTCACAAAAGAGGACCGGCTAAATAAGGCCAAATTTTGCTTCGCAATAGAACTTAAACTAACCTTTAAAAATTGACCTTTCTTAGGTCATAAAAAGTACGAAAATAATTGTCATTTATCCCATGATGTAACTTCATGATTTATTTGAGAAATAATGAGGAAAATTGAAAGAATAACATAGTAAGCTATTATAGGCTTTCATATTGATTTATACATAGAAATCAACAGTCTGCCCTATATCAATTTCAGAAAATTGCATTTTTTTTTAAATCAAGTATGCGTCGAAACTGTTTTATTTATTAATTGCTTTTTTTGACATGCATAGTTGGCTGGTTGATCTACTGTTTGGACTAGCTACGCATAAGAGAAATATGACGCGATATATGTATTATCTATATATATATAAATGAATGTTTGTTTGTTTGTCCCGTCTGCGTTCGTAAACCATTCATCCGATTGTGATGAAACTTTGGTGAGTTATTGTTCACACGCCCGTCAAGGTTTCAATGATTCGTTCGGGTCGCTACAATCGCTACAAGTGTTGGTTTAAAGGCCGTAGTTGGATAAGGAGGGGCAATCTGCCCCCGCGCCGATCATGGCCATTTTTTTTACAGTTTAGTTGCTATCAATATCAGTTACAATTTTCATCAATTACCAAACATTAGCCCTTAATATTCAACCATTAAGGTGTGAGAAATAAAAATCAAAATTTCAAAAAAAATTTATATCTATTAAACGGCTCAATCAATTTTCATAAAAAAATATATGTTGTAGATGTAGACAAGATACATTTGTAAAAAAATTTCGAAGATTTTTGAGGCCAGAAACATTGCAAAAAAAATAAAATATTTTTATTTATTTTATTTTAGCTATCTTATCGGTCTTGTACCATCACAAAAATTTTGCCGTAAAATTATTAAACGCTATCCTATAACATACAATTTTTTCAAATTTTTGAAATGGGTTGTTGATACTTAAAAAAATATTCTTTTCCTAATTTTTTTAAACCATCCTATCGGTCCACTACGAAGAGCTAACTCAATTTTTAATGCATAACTTAAGAAACGTATAATTGAACATATTTAATACCTTCATTCAATCAATTAAGCACATTCTCTAGAGATTTTGCAATTAAGTAACTAGATATTAT